GTAAATGTTTTGTAATAAAGGGCTCAGGATAAGGCTTTTTTCAAAATAAAAGCCACAGATAGTAAATGTTTTGTAATAAAGGGCTCAGGATAAGGCTTTTTTCAAAATAAAAGCCACAGATAGTAAATGTTTTGTAACAAAAGATCAGGATCAGGATTTTTTTAGTTTTCTGCCTCCCGCTCAGAATATCATTTGTTATGTTTGCTATCCTTTCCTGCATTAAATAAACTGGAGCCCGAGTGGAGCCGGGGCTGATGGGAAATGTAGTTTCTGAGGTTGTCTCACCCTCCAGAGGCGCACCAGGATCCAGTTGGTCTGAGCCCAGGGCCGCTGCTCGTAGGGGGCCAGCAGGTTCCTCATCATCGCCACGCGCCTGCACAACACACTCTGTATCAGCTCATTACATACATCTTTTACATATTAAAAATATATATAATGTTGTTTTCAATATATTAAATTATTATATTTAACAATTATATGTTGTCTAGTGCGGTTAATTTTACAATTTGAACATGTGGTCTTCTGTACATCTATATTATTAAATCATTAGAAAGCTAGTAAATGAATGTATAGATTATAGGGATGTAACGATACCAAAAACTCACGGTACGATGTTTACCGCGAGATGAATAATAATCAGAAGGATTTAGAAATGAATGTATTGATTATCTTAATGAACATCTGGATTACTGAGAATGATACATGAAGTGATAAAGTAGTATCACTCACTGTTCCTCGGGGATTCGCTCCACCGCCCTGAGGGATTGTGGGTAACAGACGTAGCTCGCCAGCGCCTGCATCAGGGAGTCCTTGATATCTGCAAACATGAATATAAATTAATATTAAAACATAAACTAAAACCTTGTAAACGTCACGCTGCTGTCACAGGAGCGTGTTTACAGAGATGAAGGTTATAACAACAGGACTCTGAAAAGAGACTGCAGGTATCAAATGCTTATATCCTAAATAAAGAGGCAAACAAAGTGTAAATAGATTACAATCAAATTAAATAAATTAATAAATACAAATCAAATCAAATTAAAAAGGAAGCAGGCAAAAGGAAACGGGTCAAGAAATAAAGTGAAATTAAATTAAATAAGTTAAAAACCATGGGACAAAATGAGCAGCAGCATAAGGAGGCGTTTAAATGAGATACGTGCAGAAGTAAATGAGGAAGGAATGTTTAAAAAGAGATCTGGATGAAAATGTGAAATCCTCGTTGGTCTGAATCTGCAGCTCGCCTTCCTCTCATCACGTTCACCTGAGCGCCTGCTATATTCTGTTCCTTATGCTTTCCAGGGATCAGGTGAACAGCTGGTGGTGCGGCTTTCACTTCCTGCTGAGAGGCTAAGGAGGATTGATCTGGTTATTCCATCTCTTGTCTCTGTTCTGCAGAAAGTGATAACCGCTCGTCTCTCCAGGAGCCACAGCACCTGATTTATTGATCAGAGAGCGGCTGCTGCACGGATCAGCAGGAACACCAGGTGATAAATATGTCTGAGTGAAACAGGAAGTCTGAGAGAGGAGGGTCGAGAAACGTGTCTGCAAAACATGCTGCGCTAGATATAGGCTCATTCAGTTCATCACGTCAACCGCTCAGAGCTCAATGTTATTAAAGTCTCAAAATGTCGTTAATTAAAACGTTAAAAACCCAAGATAAGAGGAACCGGTTCTCCTCCTGCCGGGAACACAAACCTGTTCATCACAAACAGTGTGCACGTACCGTGCACTTTTAGAACAAATCTGAATCTGTGTGTGCTCATGTATGTACATATAACAGGTCAGTGTGTGTGTGTGTGTGTGTGTGTGTGTGTGTGTGTGTGTGTGTGTGTGTGTGTGTGTGTGTGTGTGTGTGTGTGTGTGTGTGTGTGTGTGTGTGTGTGTGTGTGTGTGTGTGTCACCTGGTGGTTGATGAACACTGTCAGGACACTTATGTAAGCTCTACACGTCCTTTACCTCTCTCCTCTTCTCTTACACTGTCACCCTCTCTCTCTCTCACCCTCTCCCTCTCTGTCTCTCCCTTTCTCTCTCTCTCCTTTCTTTCTCTTCCACATTACTTAATAATACATCTCCCTCTCCTCTTCCCGCTGCTTAATCTCTTTCCCTTTATTTTTCTTCTTGCTTCATTCACTCTCTCTTCTTTTCTTTTCTCACCTTGGATAACATCCTCTCACCTGTCTCTGCTGTGTGTGTGTGTGAGAGAGAGAGAGAGAGTGTGTGTGTGTGTGTGTGTGTGTGTGTGTGTGTGTGTGTGTGTGTGTGTGTGTGTGTGTGTGTGTGTGTGTGTGTGTGTGTGTGTGTCTGTGTGTGTGT